GCCGTTGAACGTGACGGACACCGAACAGGCCCTACATATCAAGTTTTATGACGTGCGGTCCCAGTTTAAAATGATGCTGGATACTGTGGCTGCCGGTGAGCATAAAAGGGGACTGGAGATATGGGCCAGGTGGCATGATACGGTATGTGCTAAAATTGGTTTTGTATTATGTGTATGGTTAATTATTTATGAACTAGATAAATAAAATTTATATCATAATTATCAATGAATAAAATATAAATTTTATTTATCTAGTTTATAAATAATTAACTATTATAAATAATTTATAATGTTATAATTGTTATTATAAGTGTAATTACATAATTTAACATTGCTTGTATAGTTTAATAAATTATTAGAATTTAATTTAAAACATTTAGCAAGTTAAATGTTTATTAGTTTTTTTAATAATTAAAAACAATTATCTAATGTAGTTGAAATATTTAATTGTTCATGTTTAGATATCAAACTTTTTGGCTCAGGGCTACACCAGGATCGATGATACGTACGCAGTGGTCGTACCCCAACAGCAAAGGGCGGCCTTTTTCCAGTTGCTCGTCAACGACATTACCTATATTTATACATTTTTCAAGACATTAACCGGCAAATAATCTAGTCAAACTTGGTTACATAAATTGTTTGAAATTAAACACATTTTACAAATTGTAACAGAAAACAAAAATTTATTTTAAATAAATACAAACACAGTATAATTTGTTAGACTATAATAAATGCAATGATTATTTTCGTATCAAAATAATATACAGAAATCTAATGTAGAGCATAGGGGTACCCAAGTGTACGTCCAAGGACATATTGCTACATTGATGAAATTAGTATTTGTGCGTGCTACTCATATTTTGGACGTCTATTAGGTAGAGTAATATTATTAATAAGAATATTTTGAAAAAATATCAATTATCAAGTCCAATAAACACCACGGTGTATGTGACTATAATACTAATTGTGGTCCATATCAGGGACAATCTTATGGTAAACAGTGAACACGCGTTCAATTCATTGCGATTCACATTTGCCGACGTAATTAATAGTGTCATAATTGGGTAACAATCGGTAGGTATGGGCGCACCGGTATCGGTCCACCTATTCAGTAATGACTTAAATACTTGCTGGGACGTACTGGTGAGTCTAGCACCGGTAACAGTGACCATGATTAATAATAATATTTTCTCGGACATACGATGTGTCGATATGATAAAGTCGCCAAGGTCACCTATATATACAGATTAAGAAAAATTTTAAAATATTAAAATGTAATTGCTATTTTATAAATCATACCGAATTTATCGGGTTTAATAATGTACAATATTATGTTGAATACCAATTTACACGATTCAGCTATCATAAAATAATAGCTAATTAACAACGATTTTGATATCAAGCTTTGTAGCCTAGTTGTTTGGGCGCTAATGCGTGCGTGAGTTATGTGTATTTTGCGTACACCCTGAGCAGTTATCTCAATCCGATTCTCGAGTATATCTAAACTTAAATCGGAAAACATTTGAGAAATTATTAGACAGTTTAGGCAACAGTAGCCTAATGACAGGCTTATGGGTAAACGCATTATGTAGGACGTCAACAGATTAAAAATAAATAAGTTTATGTTCATCGTAGTGTCCTCATTATCCATGATATAATAACTACCGAACAAATAGTACTTGCTCAAATCAATAATTAACGAGAATATCGGTACAACGAATATCGTGACAATTATACCATAACTTAGGGAACGGTATTTATGGACAGCCCTTTGGCTTAAATGAATTGTAGGGTCAATAATGTTCACACATTTATGGGTGCATAGGATGACTAGAATCGCGGACGCCTTAAACGCGAGTATAATTACATTTGTAAACCCTTTGCACGACATGTTGTTTACGAAAAGTTTCAGTTCCCTATAGAAGGTAAATAAAATTAAAAGTAAAATTAGCAAGCGTACTGTCCAAATTATTAGCCTAGTTTTCAGTCGTAATTTATTAGCATCAGGGTGATTAAAACCGCAATAGGTCATTGCAGTTAATATTGGTTTTAATATATTGTTGGACATATTATTATTATTATTATTTGTTGTATGTTGATTTTTAGAATAATTTAATTTAATTTTAAATACTGAACATGATAGATATGTGTTAAAACATGTTTATTAGATTTTTAAAATGTTAACTATGTAAGCAATGACATTATTGTAATAATATTGTTAGAGGTATGCAGGGATATAATTTATGCATTAACGTATCATATTACGTAATAATATAATAAATAATATAATAAATATATTATCTATTATTATTATCTAATTATTATTACTAAATTAAATGTATATAAAACATAACAATAATAAAATGTTTCAATAATTAACAAATACAAAGTGTTTTATTACTGTGATTACTTATTTTATTATATAAAATGGACAAAAATAGATTTAATAACATAAAACAATTTATGAAAATTTAATGTTTTATTTAATTTATCAATTTTGCAATTTCATAATACTGCAAGGCAATAAACTTTGTAAAGTAATTATTTGTACTTAATACATTTTAATTAATAATAACAATACAATATATGATACAGTATAATATCATATAATGCTTTTATTGTATGTGTTTATAAAAATATATAACCTGTAATTATAACAAAGTTATTATAGTAATAAATATTAATGAATTTACATTAATTTATTAGTTAGTAGAAATTATTAAATGAGTCCATTTTTAATGCACATCGGTTTCAAAAAATCAAAGTAGTTGTAATTTAAAATATTTTGTATCACTTATTTGTAATGTTAATAATCAAAAATCATATTTGGCATTTGTGTTGATATTTTAGTATTTTAGTAATTAATTTAAATTTAGCAAAAAAATTTCTGAGTCACATCAATTTTTTAAATAATAACATTTATGTATTTATTTATTTATAATATTTAATATAAAAAATGGCTAACCCTTTAATACTTAAGCATAGAGATGCTTGCTAATTAATTAAAATTAATTTAAAATATTTTAACGTTATATGACTTAAGGGTAATTTAGTTTTTAATGAAATTAAATCTACAGATTACTAAAATATAAACACCAAAACAAATATAATTTTGTATAGTAAAATTACTAGTTAAGGTATATAAATAATCTTTTAATATTTTATAATTATTTGTTAATCTCTATCATTTTTACTAATTATGATGATATTCACAAAAGTTAGGCATATTATTAATGCAATGCACATATTGGCTAAAATATTGTTAGTATTAAAAAAGTATACCATAAAATGTGTTAAAATATGTTAAAAAAAGCTTAAAAAAATATATGTTTCATATTGCTAAAATAATAATTTTTAAACATTTTATTAATAAAATATTTTTTAAACTAACAACAATAAAATTATAACTTATGTAAAAACATAAATAACGTATCAGACAATTTTTATTATATTACATATATTTAAAATCTATTTATATTAAAAGTTATAAGTTATATATTATATATTATAAGTTAATATATATTTACATTGTGTAATCAATACTGTATAACATGCAGTGCACTGTATATTATTAGCATTTAACATTATAAGTTTTAAAACAAATGATATAATAATATTAATTAAAAATAATATAATTATAAATTAATAATTATAAATGGACATTTTAATTAATTTAGCTTACCTACCATATGTTTAGGCATTCTATTAACACATAGTTACTAAATTAAAAATAATTTTATTAAACAATGAAACTCGTATTAAAGTCATTGTTATCTACATCTAATATATTATTCATCTGGCTAATTTGCAATGAATTTACCCTGTTAACCACAAATGCACATAATGGGCTAAACAACGAGATAAACTGTACCGCCGGTGATAATTATTATACAATTTTTAAACTGATACTAATTTTGATACAATCATAGCTAATGTAGACTCGAACAACAAATATAACCCTGGTGAAACTAATGATAACAAACGGGATAACTTGATGAATTTTGAACTTTCAAATGGCACTAATGAAGTAATGAATATTACTATGAAAATAGACTTTCCTATGAAACCAATGGACACAAGTGGACCAGAAATACCAGAACCTGTTACTATGAAACCTATGGATACGAGTGCACCAGAAGTACCAGAATCTGTTACTACAAGTGACACAGGAAATCACAGTATAAATGTTAATATTACTATAAAAATGGACCATGATACAATCACACAAAATATGTCCGAGTCTACAGATCCTACAATACCTGTGTCTACGAGTGCACCTGAAGTACCAGATGCTATCAAACCTATGGATACGAGTGCACCAGAAATACCAGAATCTGTTTCCAAGAAACCTAAGGATCCTGGTGCACTACAATTAGATAATAAAGATCACATGTCAAACAAGCTTGATAAACAACTAAAATTTTCTATAAATACCGACTTAACAACTGAGCAAAGTAAACTGGATCAAGATTTTGGTCTGAACCCGAGCCCACACCCTAATGTTACCGCGTACGTCAAGGCGTGCCTAAAATTTATTCAAAATTTAAACAAATTCAATTTAGTCCATTCAAGCAATACGGACCACCCTGTACATAATCGGCCATTAAATAGTGCAGATGTAAACAAGGCCGTATGGGCCCTGAACGAATTGAAAAGCATGCTACATGGCCATTTAATGAAACCCCCTAATGGTGACGTGCAAGATAATAGTAGCCAGCTAGATTTAGCGACCCTGGAGGAAATAAAAGGCAAATTGCTTGAAGTATTTGACGGGTTAGACAAAACAGGGCCTCAAGTTGCTAAAGCTACTAACCAAGTTCAATTATTTAAATCGCTCAATCTGGAACCATCAGACAATAAACCAAATATTAATCTTATTAGAAATATAACAGATGATCAAGGTACGCCTGATATAAATGATACAAATGTATCACCTTCAAAAATGACTGTCGGTCTAAATATAACAATTGATAACCCTGGTAGTTATCCTAACAGTACGAAATCATCAAGCACAATGTCTGTTAGCAGTGTAAACAGTCTAACAACTACCATGCCTAGTTTATTAGGTGATTCTGACCACGATGATAAACCACTGATGCCTTTTAAGCCTGTACGAAATAAAACTACTGATAATAAACCAGATCCAAATAATATTTTACAAAATAACACTGGAAGTAATGATACGCGATTACAAATTACCACTGTAATGCCTGGTACAATTATCACAACAAATATGCCTGACACTAATGACACTGGAAATGACAATATAAACGTTAATATTACTATAAAAGTGGACCATGATACAAGTACACAAGAAGTGTCAGAGTCTACGTCTACGAGTGCACCACAAGAAGTAAGAGAATCTGTTACTACAAAAGCTATGGATACGAGTGCAACAGAAGTACCAGAATCTGATACTACAAAAGCTATGGATACCAGTGCAACAGAAGTACCAGAATCTGATATTACAAAACCGATGGATACCAGTGCAACAACAGTACCAGAATCTATTACTACAATTACTATTGATCCGAGTGCGCTACAACCAAATAATAAAGATCTAATGTCCACCAAATTTGAATTAAAATTTGCTAATAATCCCGACTTAACTACTGAACAAAGTAAACCGGGCCAAGATTTTGGTTTGCACTTGAGCCGACAACCTAATGTTACCGCGTACGCCAAGGCGTGCCTAAAATTTATTCAAAATCTAAACATATCCCAATTA